CTAGGAGCTGCTCGGAACGGCGAAGGCCAGGAGAGTCTGGGGAGCTAGGAGCTCTGAAAGCGCTTGAAAGCCATAGGAAGCGAAGAAGACTCTAGGCTAGGAGCTGCTAGGAGTTGGGAAGCCTGTAGGAGTTGGGAACTGCTAGGAGAAAGAAGCTGCTAGGAGCTGCTAGGAGCTCCGGGATAGGCAGTAAATATAGTCTTTGGAGAAGGGTGGAGGGTAGGAGTTGGGAGCACAACAGCGATTTCCCCCGGCAAACCCTCAACTCCCGGCTCCCAGCTCCCAAAAATGTTTCTGCCTGCAACTGTTGGTTTTTCTAAGCTGGCTTACCAGTTCTTGGCGATAAAGCGCTCGATGAACCACTGGTCGCCCATGAACTAAAAATATAATTTAAGTTAATTTTTAATAGGGCTTATACCTGGCAGGCCATGTCGGCGTCGCCGTTGTAGATGAGGAAGCGGAGGGGATAGCCTTTAATTTGAGATAAGTCAATATAAAACTGCCGTACCCGAGTCGAACATCTCCTGGAAGACGGGCATCATGTCGGGGTGCTGCTGCTTGTAGTAGATGGCGTTGATGTCGTCGCTGAAAATCAAGCTTTGGGCATGCAGGGAGAGCTTGTTGAGGAAGAGGAGAGGGCAGGCTAGCAGAGATTGTTGAGGAAGAGGAGAGGGCAGGCTAGCAGAGATTGTTGAGGAAGAGGAGAGGGCAGGCTAGCAGAGACAGTTTGATCCCTTACTTGCACAACTGCCAAGCCGGTAGTCCATCCGGAATATGGAGGGCCTCTTCACGTCCTGTCGATTCATATGTACGCAGCAGTGGCCGAGCATAACTACGAGAAGCCGCCAACGGAGTCTGTTGAGGTGGGATGGTGCCTTGGCTCTCAAAATATATGGAAACTTGAGATTTACGAAGTAGCGGAGTGCCTCTTATTAGAAAAAAAATTTTAGCATTTGATCCTTGAAACACAGGTTTTCAGCTTAAAAATTTTCAAATAATTTGAAAATTACCCCTGGTCGATGACGGGGTTCTGGCCATTGCTGAACATTTGGTAGTCGATCGAGTTGGCAAATCTGAATGTATTTTGCTTCGTAATAACGAAAAACAGGAGCAAAGAGAAAGAGAGAGTGAGAGAAAGAGAGAGAGAGAGAGAGAGAGAGAGAGAGAGAGAGAGAGACAGGAGGGAGCACAGAAGCTCACAACGGAAGGTACGGAAGCTGCCGGACGAGCTGCTCCAACTTCTCGCCCATATCCATCGAGTCGAGGACTGCGTAGCAGTCTGGCCCACGTGTTGTAGACGTTGTTGAGCCTGAAAATCAGAGGCTTTTTTGAGCTTCAGGCAAGCTAGCAGAGATTTATGAGGAAGTGGCGGAAAGAAAGAGGGCGCTTTCTTCTTAGCGGGGAGAGGTATTCGAAAAAAATCCAAAAATATCGATTTTCGGGAAAAATGACCATATTCGTCAAAACTTTCAAAGTCCTGGTAAAATCCTAGTTTTCTTTTTCATCTTTCCCCCGATAATGCAAAAGCACCAAAATGATCTATTAATTCAAATTCTCAAAATTCCAGATCACCCACGTGCTCCACACCAAATCCTGGCCGTATTTGACGGTGCGCTGGGAGCAGCGCAGCTTCACCGGGTCCGTGTAGTTGACCACGACCGCATTTCCTAAATTTGTTGCTTATTAAATTGCCCTTCGTACCGAAGTCATCAATATTAACATATTGCGAGAAGTTGCACATCTGCAGCGGCGCGCTCAGCTCTTGTGGAGCTTGGCAGCACTCTTGCATTGCGTCGAATTCGCTGAAAGGGGAAGGCTAGCAGTGATTCTTGGGGATACCTCTTTCCAATAATGCCTCGATAGTAAACAAGATCCAGCCCGGAATTCACGAGATCCATTCGATTCAAGGCTCCATTTCCGACGGCCATTCCGACGAGTTTCACATAGGGCAAAGTGCCATTCTGAAGTATGAGGGGGTTTTAAAATGGCGGGTAAATTATCTCGCTCGAAGTGATTAATTTAGAAAGGAAAAGGAAGACGTTTTTTATTTTTTATTGCAATTTTAAAACGCAGTTTTCCCTAACAATCTCCAGCTTACCTGGATCATCTTCACCAACAGGTTCGTCAGGGTCGGCACGTAGACGCCGCCATAGGATTCGCCTGGAATTTTTAGATATAGGATATTGGTTACTCTAGCTGAAAAATGTATACCAAGTTTTTACGTATCGAATTCTTTTATATTTTTTTATATAGCCTTACCGGTCACGTAGAAATCTCGATTTTTGTACTCGGGGAATCGAGCAAAGAAAGCCTGGAGAGCCAACACGTTGTCGACGGCAGTCTGGAAAAGATTCGATTCTCACAGAATCTCTGCTAGCCTGCCCTCTCCTCTTCCTCAACAATCTCTGCTAGCCTGCCCTCTCCTCTTCCTCAACAATCTCTGCTAGTCTGCCCTCTCCTCTTCCTCAACAATCTCTGCTAGCCTGCCCTCTCCTCTTCCTCAACAATCTCTGCTAGCCTGCCCTCTCCTTTTCCTCAACAATCTCTGCTATGCCTTCCAGTTCTCACCTTATCATCATTGTAAAGATCATCTTTCGGAGCCGTCTTATCACGATACGAATATCCGATGTCACGTGGTGATTCGAGGTACAGCATATTCGCCAGCTAAAAAACGATGTTTCTATATTGCCTTAAGTACCAAAAACGCACCTTATTCCACGAGTACACATTCTCCACCAGGCTGCTTCCGTTATCCTTTGTCGGTCTGGAAATTTTAGATTTGCATAAAAATGTGCCGAAAAACGCCAAAAATATGACTGTTTGCGCCGTTATTTCGCTATAACACGGGCGAGTTTCCCATAATTTTTGCTAAAAATTTTAGAGCCCATAGTACATGTCCATCTACAGCTATGGCCGGAATTTCAGGCAGGCAGGATGTCACAATCCCTTTAAAATTGACCTGAACGGTCCCATCTCGGTGAGGAAGCCGTCCATCGACGAGCATCCGGGCCCTCCATTCAGCCACAACAGCAACGGGGCTTTATCCGGGTTTTGTTGCGCTTCGACGAACCTGAAAAAAAGCAAAAATAAACCCGAATTCAGTCACTCAAACAAAAACAGCAAACCACAAGCAGAGTTTAGTATAAAAGTAATCCAAAAAATTACCAGGCAAAATCCCGAAACGCTTTTTTGTAAAATTATGATTTTCAAAATTGCCCCAAAAATTTATTTGGATATAGAAAAACACGGCTATTTTAGATTAGCTATTTAAATGAAACTTTTGCCAAGATTTTTAACATTTTTTAGTCGATAAAATGTGGCCCAGAAATGGTTAAAAATAGGTTTTCCTAAAATCGATATTTTATAGCTATTTTCATGAACCTTTTAATTTTCCCTTAATTTAGATATACCTTTATTAATTTTCTCTTTTTTTCACATATCTACCGTAAATTTTTAATTTTGTTAAAAATACTTTCATGGTTTGGACAAGCTTGTCTAGATGCTAAAAATAGTTTGGAACAATCAATGGATCACTAAGAATCTCGGATTTTGGCGCTGGACGCTGAATTTCGAAACATTTTTCTGGAAATTTTGAAAAATCCGATGTATTATACCAGTAATGCAAATGGTTGCCGGGGGATGTATCCAAATATCCCGAGTACTGGTTGAAGGTGGGGGTGAAGGTGAGGCCTGGAAAATGGACGAGACTCTGTATCTCTCTGTCTCGCTATTTCTCTCTCTATCTCTCTCTCGCTCTCTCTTTCATTCTCTCTCTCAATCTCTCTCGCTCTCTCTCTGTCTCTCTGTATCTTTCTCGCTGTCTGTCTCTAGCTCTCTCTCGCTCTCTTTTTCTCACTCTCTCTCTCTCTCTCTGCTCTCTCTCCTGCCCTACCTGGTAGATCGGTGATCTTGTCGGATGCCTTATCGGCGGCCAGGGCCAGCCCCAAGAGGCCCAGGGCCCAAAGTGGTACCCATCGGAGACGGTTTCCCATCTAAACATGCAAATTTCGCCATTAATGCGTGGTCTGCAAAGAGAGAGTGAGAGAGAGAGAGAGAAAGAGAGAGAGCGAGAGAGAGAGAGAGAGAGAGAGAGAGAGCGAGAGAGAGAGCACACAGTACAAATTCCAAACGTGTACCCGAAAGTCCGATCCGATAAAACGTCACCGATTCCAAGCCCTGGCCCTGGGGGGATAAGCCCCGAATTTTAGAGAGGGCCAAAAGTGATAAGCGAGCCCGCTCCCGTTTTAGCTTCTTCGCGGGCTTGGCAAATTTTTGGCGATAAGCTAGGGGCACTTTTTTGGCCTTATTGGTCACTGCGGAATTTTAGGGGCTAGAAAGCCTAAGCCTAAGCCTATGCCAAAGCCTAAGCCCAAGCCTAATCCTAAGCATATGTCTCAGCGTCGACTAGAGCCTCGGCCTAAGCTCAAGCCTAAGCCAGGCCAAAGCTTAAGCCTAAGCCTAAGCCTAATCTGAAGCCAACCCAAAGCCTAAAGCTATTCTTAAGCCCTAGCCTAAGCTCAAGCCTAAGCCCAATTGTAAGCTAAGCCTATGCCCAAGCCTAAGCCTACGCCTAAGTTAAGCGAATCGATTTACCCGTTTTAAAGAGCCACACAACTATGGAAAAATTAATTCTTGTGCCCAGCAGGCATTCCTGAAGAATCTCTGCTAGCCTGCCCAAAAATTGTTGCGATTTGTGCCGGGAATCAGCCGAAAACTGTTTTTGCAGTATCATCATTCGTCGTGTCCGCGTTTTATGAGTGGCATTTGGCAGGTAAACTTTAGAATATGACCCGGTGATTCGGCCCCGAATGCACACAATAGAATTCCGGGCGTTTCAATGCCCAAAAATCAGGAATTGAAAAATTATGACGATTTAGGAAGCTGCAAAATTTACACAATAACTATTTTTGAACGCAGGAAATCCACAAAAATCACTGCGGCCAGCCAGTTGTAATTTCCACGCTCAGGAAGGGTTAAAAAGCGCAAAGCAGCGGTCCCGTATCAGAATTCAGAACAGAGGAGACACGACCAATCTGCTTATCGCCTCCAGTGCCACCGGCCATCGAGGCTGTCTGCTAAAAAGCGCCTCAGAAACTCGACGAAAAACGGCCTAAATTACGAGCGGCTAGCAGAGATCATTGGGGAGGGCAGGCTAGCAGAGATTGTTGAGGAAGAGGAGAGGGCAGGCTAGCAGAGATTGTTGAGGAAGAGGAGAGGGCAGGCTAGCAGAGATTGTTGAGGAAGAGGAGAGGGCAGGCTAGCAGAGATTGTTGAGGAAGAGGAGAGGGCAGGCTAGCAGAGTTTATTGAGGAAGAGGAGAGGGCAGGCTAGCAGAGATTGTTGAGGAAGGGGAGAGGGCAGGCTAGCAGAGATTGTTGAGGAAGAGGAGAGGGCAGGCTAGCAGAGATTGTTGAGGAAGAGGAGAGGGCAGGCTAGCAGAGATTGTTGAGGAAGAGGAGAGGGCAGGCTAGCAGAGATTGTTGAGGAAGAGGAGAGGGCAGGCTAGCAGAGTTTATTGAGGAAGAGGAGAGGGGCAGGCTAGCAGAGATTGTTGAGGGAAGGGGAGAGGGGCAGGCTAGCAGAGATTGTTGAGGAAGAGGAGAGGGCAGGCTAGCAGAGATTGTTGAGGAAGAGGAGAGGGCAGGCTAGCAGAGATTGTTGAGGAAGAGGAGAGGGCAGGCTAGCAGAGATTGTTGAGGAAGAGGAGAGGGCAGGCTAGCAGAGTTTATTGAGGAAGAGGAGAGGGCAGGCTAGCAGAGATTGTTGAGGAAGGGGAGAGGGCAGGCTAGCAGAGATTGTTGAGGAAGAGGAGAGGGCAGGCTAGCAGAGATTGGTGAGGAAGAGGAGAGGGCAGGTTAGCAAAGATCGTTCTGGAAATGACGAGAAGCTGGAGGCAGAAACGGCTTCTAAATCTTCTTTTAGATCGAATTTTTGCATCAGACTGCCGCCCGGCCAGAAGCTGACCGATTTCCAGAAGTGATGTGCGTACTCTGTGATAATTCCGATTCCGCGTCGCTCCAGATAACGGAATTCCAGTTCTCCCTGTATTCGTATCAAATTTCGCTTTCAGGAGAAAAAATTAGCTTCTTCAAGCCTTCCCTATCTAGATTAAGCAGCCAGAGTGTAGTGTTTATAAATAGTATGTAATCTGAATTCAACGTGCCTCTTTTCCTCATCAATTTCCAGCAAAAGCAGCTGTAGCTGGTCGCTCACCCGGTGCCCCCGAAACGCGTGCTACCTGGCCCACCCCCGGGCTGCGGGGTATAAAAGAGGGCGCGGCCTTCTCCCCTTTCTGCCTGTCAATGAAGAGCCAGCAACTACGGCGGTCCTAATCCTCCATGTGGACGACTCAGTTGCACGGAGACTACTTTTTGCGTTTTGTAGAAATTGTTTAAAACTGTTGTATAAATTTTTGTGCTGTTATACTATCGGAACCTCATCATTTTGAATTGATTTCCTCATAGGGATTGCTTAACTTCGACGACTTTAGCCGCTTTCGCTCCCGAAAGCGCTTTGCTAGCTTGCCGAATTTTTGTTGTACCTGTAGAATTTATTAAATCAGTTAGTTTATTAAAGCTAAAACACGCATCTCGAAAACGTTTCTAGCTTTCTAGACCAACAACGCGCCAAAAGCCTTTTCCTTTTCCAGTCATTGCCCCAATTTCTGTTTTTTTGGCATATTTCTCGCTTGGCGCCTTCGGATCGTTGAAGATTTATCCTCCCAGATGCATGATTTGGCTACTACAAACAAGCAGCAGATTATAATTGAAACATATATTCAAAAACACGCTTTTAAAGCCTCCTCTTTACCCATACTCCCTTGCGTGCGGCGAAGCACGCGCCACCTGGCCCACTAGCCGGGCAGGGGGTATAAAAGAGGGTGGCCACCCCTGCCCTTCCCCACTGTGTGACCGGTGACGAGACAGCTAACGACGGGCGGTCTAAATCATTCTGTTGAGAAAAGTTAGCAGCTTAGGTCTTTTTATTTTGTTTTCCTTAATATTATTTTGCTGCTTGCCCTGTTTTAACGTGCTTTTTTATTTTAAATGTCATGGACGTGTTCTTCCTTTTTTGCCATTTTTGAACACCGGAACTAAAAGGATACTTTATTTACAAACCGAAAGGCAGACGTAGGAAGAGGCTGAAATGAGATCAGAATGAAACTAAAACGATATTTTTGGATTTTTTGGCGAGAATACAGTACAAATTCTCCTTTTTTACAGTAATTACAACAAATCGACCGAAGCAAAAATCGATCCGGGACGATTTTTCCGGCTTTCTCAAAAGCGATTTATGCAGATTCGATGGATCTCCTCGGGACTCGAGGATGCGTCTCCTGCATCTCTTCTTCCTCGTGAATTGGCTGGAAATGGAGCATTAATGGGGGGAAACAATGGCCAATAGTCTCTGCTAGCCTCCTTCTTGCTTACCTCAATGACGCTGCGCCTCGTGCTCATCTTAGCCCTCAGTTTCTGAAGAAGCGAAGCCCGGCGCTTTGGCTCCACGCCGCTTCCATCTACGGCCGGGGCGCTCTGGCGCCGGCGGGGCGCCTAGAAAATTGATACTATTTTATTTACAAAATGTACAAAATAAACCTTATTAAGCAAAAATTCAAAAAAAACATTATTTTTCTGCGATCCCTAAATACCTTACTTCATTTTGTCCAGGAGCGCCAGAGGAGAATTCACGGAGTGAGAAAAAGCGACGGCGAGGCCCGTTTTCTACTTTCTAAATTGATTTGAATATGAGTTTTAGGTTTTGGAAACAGCTTTTAAGTGTATTTAAATTCTCATATTATTCAATTTATCAATAAGTTTTAAATAAATTAAATTTCTTCCTGATTGGACTCACCCTCGCCCACATGCGCATCTCCTCCCTGACGGCGTTGTTGAGATGGATCTCGCGCTCCTTGGAGAGCCGGAAATCGGGGGTTTTCTGGAAGGATTAACGCAATAAAAATATAATATCAAATGAAGATCAATAGTCGATATAAAAGTCTAAATAAATCAAAATAAATGCAAATATAATATGACCGCAATTTTTACGATAAAAA